CGGGGGCGAAGCTTACCAATATCGGGTTCTTCCGTTCGGCCTAGCACTCTCCCCTCGCACCTTTACCAAGTGTATGGATGCAGCTCTATCACCCCTGAGGCTCGAGGGCATCAGGGTGCTCAATTACATCGACGACTGGTTAATACTGGCACAGTCGAGAGAGCTGGCGATTCGGCATCGAGATGTCGTCCTCGCCCACATCCAGAGCCTGGGGTTGAGACTCAACACGAAGAAGAGCGTGTTGACACCAGCCCAGAGAACCACGTTCCTGGGAGTGGTGTGGGACTCAGTCACGATGCAGGCACAATTGTCTCCTGCTCGGATCGAGTCTATCCTGACCTCAGTGTCCAGGATAAAGCTAGGCCAGGCCGTCACTGTCAAACACTTTCAGAGAGTGTTGGGTCTAATGGCAGCAGCGTCCAGCGTGATACCTTCTGGCCTGCTGCACATGAGAGCCCTGCAGTGGTGGTTAAGAGCCAAGGGGTTTTCCCCGAGGGGAAATCCATTCCGCTTGATAAGGGTTACGCGCAGATGCCTTCGTTCCCTATCAATTTGGAAGAAGCCTTGGTTCTTGTCCCAGGGTCCCAGGCTGGGAGCGTCGTGTCACCGGATATCTATTTCGACAGACGCCTCCCTCACGGGCTGGGGCGCGGTCATGGACGGCCGTTTTACGAGAGGTCTCTGGCAGGACCAACATTCCTCTTGGCACATAAATTGCCTAGAAATGTTGGCGGTGTTCCGGGCTCTGAGGAGCTTTCTGCCAGACCTCCATGGTCGCCATGTCCTAGTAAGATCCGACAACATGTCGGTGGTATCTTACTTAAATCATCAGGGGGGTCTGAGGTCGCGCCCTCTGTGCAGACTGGCGCATCAGATCCTCCTGTGGTCCCAGCGGAGACTGTCGTCTCTCAGGGCGATGTATGTCCCGGGGGACCAGAACCAGGGAGCAGACATGCTGTCGAGGCAGGGGCTGAGGCCCGGGGATTGGAGACTCCACCCCGAGGTGGTGGAGTTAATATGCGAGAGGTTTGGCCCAGTGGAAGTGGACCTATTTGCGTCTCGAGAGACGACTCACTGTCCACTGTGGTTCTCCCTCACACATCCAGCCCCGCTGGGGTTGGATGCCATTGTGCAGACGTGGCCGAGGCTGCGTCTGTACGCCTTTCCCCCAATCGCTCTGCTCCCAGCAGTTCTGGAGAGGGTCCGTCAGGACGGAGTCAGCCTACTATTAGAAGCCCCGTTTTGGCCGGCCCGAGTATGGTTCTCGGACATCATCTTGCTTCTGGCAGGCCCGCCATGGCAGATCCCTCTGAGGAGGGACCTGTTGTCTCAGGCGGGGGGCTCAGTTCTCCACCCTCGGCCCGAGCTGTGGAAACTGTGGGTCTGGCCCCTGAGGGGGCACAGTACCTAGAAGCCGGCCTGTCAGCAGAAGTAGTTGAGACTATACTAACTTCCAGAGCTCCCTCCACGAGGAAGTTATACGGCCTTAAGTGGAATGTATTTTCCATTTGGTGCAGAGAGCATGATTTGGACCCAGTTAACTGCCCAGTGGCTTCAGTACTGGAGTTTCTCCAAGACCGCTTTTCTGCCGGGCTTACCCCGTCCACACTCAAGGTTTATGTGGCTGCCATTGCGGCTTTCCACGCTCCTCTGGGTGATGGTCCTCTGGGGAGGCATCACCTGGTCGTACGCTTCCTCCGTGGAACCTGGAGGATGAGACCTGCGACTCGCACCAGGGTTCCCTCTTGGGACCTGGCAGTGGTGCTCGAAGGGCTGGCCGAGGCCCCCTTCGAGCCATTGGAGTCGGCTGAGGCCAAGAACCTTTCTTTTAAGGTGGTCTTTTTGTTGGCTATTACTTCTCTGAGGAGGGTAGGAGATCTCCAGGCGCTCTCTATTTCCAATGAGTGCTTGGAGTTTGCTCCCGACAACATTAAGGCCATCCTTCACCCCAGGCCTGGCTATTTGCCCAAGGTGCCATCTAATGTGGCACGGCCTTTGGTTCTGCAGGCATTTCATCCTCCGCCTCATGTGACGGCGGATGAGGAGAGACTTCATCTGCTCTGCCCTGTCAGAGCACTTCAGTATTACATCCAGAAGTCCTCCTCATGGCGGAAGTCGGACCAGTTGCTGGTGTGTTTTGGGTCTCCCAAGAAGGGGCTTCCCGCCTCTAAGCAGACCATCAGCAACTGGATCGTTCAGACTATTTCCCTGGCCTATCAGGTGCGCAATTTGCCTTCACCTATGGCCGTGAGGGCTCACTCCACCAGAGGCATGGCGTCCTCTAGAGCCCTCCTTTCAGGGGTTTCCATACATGATATTTGTGAGGCGGCTGGCTGGGCCACTCCGCACACATTCATGAGGTTTTACAGTCTGGACCTTCCCTCTACACCCGGTGCACGAGTGCTTTCGTCCTAAGTTGTGGCTGAAGACAGCTTCACACTAGGATGACCGGGGTTCGTTGTGGCATAGTGGGTATCTCGTTCCTCTAGTGTCGTCACCGACGCAGTTCGAGTCCCTCGAAAGGGAACGTCTCGGGTTACGTATGTAACCCTTGTTCCCTGAGAAGGGAACGAGACACTGCGTCGGTTCGCCACACCTCACCCTGCTTGGAGCACTTGCTTCATAGCAAAGAGCTGACTTTGCTTGTGCCGGCGTGCCTTTGTACACATCCGCTTATGCCGTCACACGCTACGTCATCACGCAACGCCAATAGGATTGGATTCGGTTTCATTCATAAATTCAGACGCGCTACGCTGAAGGGCGTTCCCCTAGTGTCGTCACCGACGCAGTGTCTCGTTCCCTTCTCAGGGAACAAGGGTTACATACGTAACCCGAGACGTTTTTCTGAATTATCCTCATCATTTAATCTGCTTCCTTCTCACCTATTTCGTTATTTTCAAATTAGGCACTGTGCCTCCTCTCTATTCTCCGGGTTTCCCTCTTTGCCTACAAAGTCTACATGGGAAGAGGCTTTTAACCCTCTGGGGACCAAGAACGCACTCGTGCGTTTTGGCAGATTTTTTTCACATAGCAGAAAAATAGACTTAAACTACTCCATCATTTCTGGTCATACACTGTAAAAAAAAAAAGTTAATTTACAGGTAACGCCCTGTATTACTTACAGAATTTTGCCGTTTTTTCATTATACAGTGAATACCTGTTAATTTACAGATTTTTGCTGTAATTTAAAGGTCCACTATTATATTTACAGATAATTGTTTGTATTTTGGTTTTACATCAATTTTACCGTTTTTTTTAGGAAATTGTCTGTATTTTTACAGGGTTATGTGTAATTTTACATTAAATATTCAGTAATATTTTACAGATTATTTCTGTGAAATTAGAAAACAAAGAAAAGAAGGTATAACTGCAGAAATCAGCAGTCATTTAACATATTGTCCTTGAAGATCATTAAGCATGTGGGTGTCAAAGTGAGTTTTAAGGTTAAATAATTGTATTTGTATACAGTACAAACAGTCTTTTAAATTTTGTCTTGCAAATATAAAATCTTTATAGTCGTATAGCAATAAAGTCTTACAAATCTTTCAGACCGTATTTTAATCTTGTCTTGCAAATGTGCTCATTTTGATAATCATTTGTATTATTCTCCCCTAATTTCATGTTATGTGTTTTATGAATATTTTTCCAAATCTGCGTTGCTGCACACAATGGCCCTCATTTATCAAAAGTGCATAGACCAAATTTCCAGCGTACACCTGGCGTACACCCAAAACCACGGTGACTTTGAGATTTATCAATATGGACGTTGGCGTACGGCACGCTCAAATCCTACGCCAGGTCAGGAGGTGGTGTACGCACGTTTTGAGTTAGTGCGGAAATGCGCAGAAAAACAATTCCTAACACCACAAAACGCACTGACAAACTAAAAGATATGATAATATGACCAACGACAACAACATAGTAATTATAAACTTCAGTGTTTATTTTTGTGCAACATGGACTTCAATGTTTAATTTGTGTGACTTTACCAAAGCATTTGATTTGTAGCCATATGTATTCCTTCAGTTGCGAGCCTGTGCGCTTTACCCTGACGTTTCATGGTTAGGCCGGCAGGTGTGCACGGACTGGGTTCGGTAATGAAAGGCTTTCAATGACCAAAAAATAATTCAGACTGACAAAATAATAAAAAATACATTCTTCTTCTTTTAAATAATAATAATAATACAAATAATAATAACGACGTTCTTCTTCTAAATAACAATAAGCGTCATTAATAATAAAAATCATAATAATAAGAAGAATATTACAAATTGTCATGCAATTATTAATGTGAATGAATGGTACTCCACATCACATCATCATCATCAATATTGTACACCCCAATACATGTGACGTGATTCGAAATTGAATGCTAATTGTTTCAAAAGACGTGCTGTAAAATAATGCATTGTGATAGGTCATTTCGGCTCCACGTCGGAGAAGTTTCTCTTCTGTGCTGTCTTCCGTGTGTAAATGGCGTAAAATGAGGGCGTGGGGGAAGCGGAGACTTGAATATATAGGGGCGTGTTATTCTAATGACGATCGTTTTCAGCCGCGGGATTTATCAAGGGCAGGTATTGCGTACACCTGGATTTCAAAGGTATGCACAGCTTCATAAATCAGGCGGTGAGAGGAGTGTAAGCATAATCTTACGCCAACATATACGCCCGTTTCTACGCAAGAATGATAAATGAGGGCCAATGGAATACATATGCTTGCAAATCAAATGCTTTGGTAAAGTCACACAAATTAAACATTGAAGTCCATGTTGCGCAATGACGCAGATTCAAATTATCCGCCAATACTTTTCCGTTGCTTAGTCCCGCCCACCACAACGGTTAGCTGTTTGGACCTGTGTCAAGGGCAAGCGGGAGATTTGAATTTAGTCTACGGTTGTGAAGTGGATTGTTTGCGATCACAGTGGTTCAAAGCTATAATCGTATTCGTCTGGAGCAGCCGTAACCAGGAGCACTGAACACATGAGTTGGGTTAACGTTACAGTCCGGGTGTCAGTCAGTCCGTTCGGAAATAACGCGCCCTTTTTCAGTGAGCCTGGATCGTCACAGCGGACATCATCATGCCAAGCAACCGATCACCGGCTGAGGTAAGAGTCTCATACTATAATATGTAAACGATATTTTATATTACATTTGTGTTAATTGACAGTTTCCAAGGTAACGTTAGCATTCATAAATGTTCAGTCATAACTGTTGCCGAGAGCTGGAGGGCAAAACACTGCAGCATGCCTTTCAATTTTCCATCTGTTTTAAGAAAGATCAGTTGAACATCTCTAAAGACCTAAAACAAGCTTTAGTAGACTTGTTATGCGTATCAAAGTCCGTCCAATTTTGTATAAAATCTTCGTTGTGATAGTCAGTCAATCAATCTCTTAAACGGCGGGACATTTTGAAACACTGTCTGGAAGCTGAAACTCCTGTCTTAAAAAAACATCCTTGATTTTATTATAGTAAAATTGTAGTAACCACGTTTTTGGCAGATTTATTACCAATTTAATAACCACAGTTTTACTAAAAATGGACCTACCTTTTTTGTTTGTTTGTTTTCTTTGTAACGTTAGTTAAACCATGGCTAATTTTGAAATGGTTAACGTGACTAAGTTAACTCTATCAAGAATGTTAAGAAATCGAATTCAGTTCTGTAACGTTACTTGTTAATTATACAGCGAAGACTAGAGTATGAATATAACATAATGAACCCCTATGTGTAACTGATGCAGCTAGGTCACGGTAAATCATATTCATTTTTAATTTATATGTAGCTAAAATCAGCTCAAAACATACTGGTAACCTTTCCTGCTCAGCTTCCAGATCATAGTCAGTTGAGTTTTTGCACTGTCCCAATGCAACACATTCTGACATGTGTAAATGTAATACTGAGTTTTAAAATAACTTATTTTTTTTGTGATTTCAGGTCCTGTGGAAAGCAGATGATCATGGCAAACAAGGTATGGGAAGAATTAACTTAAAAAAAAAATAGTAATGACGAGTCTTCTGATTTCATGTGATTGCACTAAAAGTGTGCACAAGGTTTGGTTTTGCTACAGTAAGACCACGATTGTGTTAGATTCAACCCATCTATTGTTTTTTTGTTTTGTTTTTTGTAACTAGGCTCTGTCGTTTAGATTTAGAAACATGGCTTTTCCTATCACTGTGTCACGGTTTCAATGTGTTTAGTTCTGTTTTGAGATCTTGTTTCCCCCGTCTGTTGTGACTTTTGGTTCAGTCCTGTTAGTTTTCCCGCCATGTCTGATTAGAAATTCCCTGCACCTGTTTTCTGTTAATCATCCCATTAGTCCCTGTTCATTTAAACCCTGTGTTTGCCCCTCAGTGTTGGTTGGTCGTCGTCCATGTATGGTTGTATGTTTTGAAGTCCTGGAGTTCCTTTCCCTTTGTTTTTGTCTGTTCATGGAAGTTAAGTTTGTAAATAAATACCTATATTGCAAGTTCCGTGTCCTCGTCTTCAGCAGCCTGCTACAACCTGACAGAACGACCAACCCTTACAAAAAGGAAACAGATACCTGACGGTATGGATCCAGCAGTTCTGTTTCTCCTGAACCTGCGCCAAGGAGACCTCACCATAGAGGATTATGTAAGAGAGTTTTGCGAACGCTCTCAGCTGGTGGACTTCAATGATGTGGCTCTAAAGGACTTTTTTAGGATAGGGTTAAATGAACCTATCCGGTCTTGTTTGCCAGGTGGGAAGATTCACTTTTCCCTGGCTCAATACATAGACCATGCCCTTTGGTTGAGCGGCTCAACTTTGACCGTGGGAGACATCGAGCCTGAGCTTCCCTGCGTAGTTAAGTTTAATTACGAGGTTGATGACTTCACCACCGTGGCCGCCTGAAGGGTCTTCACCACCGTGGCCGCCTGAAGGGCCTTCACCACCGTGGCCGCCTGAAGGGTCTTCACCACCGTGGCCGCCTGAAGGGTCTTCACCACCGTGGCCGTCCGAAGGGTCGTCACCGCCCTGGACGTCCGAGGGTCCGACAGCTCCGCCCTGGACGCCCGAGGGTCCGACAGCTCCGCCCTGGACGCCCGAGGGTCCGACAGCACCGCCCTGGACGTCCGAGGGTTCGACAGGTCAGCCCTGGACGCCCGAGGGTCCGACAGCTCCGCCCTGGACGCCCGAGGGTCCGACAGCTCCGCCCTGGACGCCCGAGGGTCCGACAGCTCCGCCCTGGACGCCCAAGGGTTCGTCTGCTCAGCCCTGGCCACGCCCACGTCCTGCTCCGCCCTGGCCACGCCCACGTCCTGCTCCGCCCTGGCCACGCCCACGTCCAGCTCCGCCGTGGCCACGCCCACGTCCAGCTCCACCGTGGCCACGCCCACGTCCAGCTCCGCCGTGGCCACGCCCACATCCAGCTCCGCCATGGCCACGTCCACAGCCGGTTCCACCCCGGTTCCCCAAGCTACCAGCTCCGCCCTGGAGGCTTCCTGTCCCTGCATCACCATGCCCTCGTCAGCCTCCAGGGCGCCCACCCTCCCACCCCTTTGGATGTTGTACGGCGCGAGGTCGCGCCTTCGGAGAAGGGGGGGTACTGTCACGGTTTCAATGTGTTTAGTTCTGTTTTGAGATCTTGTTTCCCCCGTCTGTTGTGACTTTTGGTTCAGTCCTGTTAGTTTTCCCGCCATGTCTGATTAGAAATTCCCTGCACCTGTTTTCTGTTAATCATCCCATTAGTCCCTGTTCATTTAAACCCTGTGTTTGCCCCTCAGTGTTGGTTGGTCGTCGTCCATGCATGGTTGTATGTTTTGAAGTCCTGGAGTTCCTTTCCCTTTGTTTTTGTCTGTTCATGGAAGTTAAGTTTGTAAATAAATACCTATATCGCAAGTTCCGTGTCCTCGTCTTCAGCAGCCTGCTACAACCTGACACACTGCTATCTTAATGACACTTATCTCTACCTTTCATTCCAGCCAGATGATCTGACGGTTGCTGCTCGCATCTCGGCCTAGCTGATGGAACATTCTTGCTGGATGAATGACCTTCACCTTCAACTCAACCTTGCCAAGACAGAACTGCTTTATGGTTTCAGACAAACCATACTTGCTGTGATCCTGCTGATTTGCCTTACACCATTAGGAGGATCAGGCCCTTCCTATCGGAGCTACACAACTCCTGGTCTAAGCTCTTGCTCTATCCAGACTGGATATTGTAATTCTCTCTGGACAGGCCTTCCAGCATCAGTCAAACCTCTGCAACTGATCCAGATGCTGCAGCAAGAGTGCTCTTTAACCCTCTGCGGACGGCAAACGCGCCGGCGCGTTTTGCTGTTTTTTTTTCACATAGCAGCAACATAGACTTAAAATACTCCGTCATTTATGGTCATATAAATAAAATCAATACATGATTATAAACTATAGAGGGTCTTCTTTTTTTGTGTACACTCACATTAACATCAAAACCTTGTGTTTTTTTAAAATAAATAAAATAAACAGGGTGCGCTTTCAGCTCACTCTGTCTCCGCAAAAATCTTTCTGAAACATGTCTGGAAAATTAACGGAAACTCAGCTAATACTTATCACACAAACATGAAACATACGTCTAAAGAACGCTTTAAATTTCTACTTTTAAATAAAACAATTCACATTTAAAACAACTATTCTCCTGCAGTGTAATCTGTATGAAACCAAAAAGAAGTACAGTTTCTCCTGTCTCAGCTCATTATCGTTAATTTGTTCACACCCACTCGCAGAGCGCGCTATTCATAAGATAATGTGTTGAGGCCATATGCAAAATAGATAAACGCCCCCAGGCAAATGCTGTAAACTCTGTAAACACACTATATTTTTTAGTCAGATTAAGATTCGTCTTGCGCGGCTATGAGGAATAATCCTGGGACATTTACCACAGAAGTGCTGGTTTATTTTCACTTCGAGGAGGAGCAACAGATTCAGCTGAGAAGTGTAAGTGTTTTATGCTTGTGCTTTGTTCTAATCGCGATATAGAATAACGTTAGTGTCTGTAAACGGAAAAATAGCATACTGTTTAAATGTGAATCATGTTTCTGTGTGTGTGTGAATGAATAAACGCACAGATACGCACTGTTACAGATGAAATAAAAGAACATTTCGTTGACTAGTTTTGGATAAAGTTTTTCAAATCAAATAAGCATCAAATAAGCTTCAAATAAGCTTCAAAATAAAGACATCAAATAAGCTTATGTTTTGTCAATAAACTAATCAACTAAGATGTTTGTTCCAATGCAAGCTATATCAAAATAATGAATCCTCAACTTTGAAATATGTATGATCAAACTAAGACATTTATGGAAAAAGACAATTTTCTTTTCAAGATGTTTTCAACTCTAACTTTGAACTGAAATAAAACCATGTCTATATGGTTAAGGGTGTGTGATAGAAGTGTCCAGACGTATGCACCCTGTATGCACCCTGTAAAGAAGAACATTTAATTATTTGCGATACATTATTCATTCACAAAGAATTCAGGGACATTATTCATGTCCCTAAAGGTTGGAGTTTTCCTCATTTTTTAAATTAAGGCATTAAGATTTTGTATTCCTCTTTTTAGTCAACTTTAGCATGGGTGTGTTCACTTATTCTAAGCAGTGTGTGTGTGTGTGTGTGTGTGTATATATAATTAAAAAGCAATTTTAACTAGAAACCAGTCCTTTGTTGTGTATCTTTGGATTATGTTGTGTTGTAAATAAATCCAAACAATCTAAAAGCCATTCTTTTTTAAATCTCCTCATTCTTTGTGCAAGGCTCCTCATACTGATATGGCCTGATAGCACCTAATAGGGCCATTATGGGAGGGTCTTTGTCTTTCTCAGGTGTGAAATGCCATACATATTAATGAGAGATCAACGCCTCCTTGCATAAAGCTTTCTCAAACTAAACACGTCATACACATTCTAAAAGACTTTATTGACTTATCTGAATGAGTAGTCAGGATGATTCTCACATAGATTTGGAGCAAATATTCTAGACTATGTGATACAATTTTCAAAAGTCTTGTGAAGAAATAATCAATATGTGTTTTGTGGCCTTATTTCAGAAACTTTTATTTTTAAGTTTTTCAATAACCATGCATAAATAATTTTCTCTCAAAAATACAAACATGTACATACATGTTGCTCACATATTATGGTAGCCCCGTTTGTGCTATATAGAGTGAATTTACACCTTTGCCATTAACATGTTTATAAATAACTGAAAAAAGCACACATGTCAGTGCATGTCAAAACATCCCAAGGGCCCCAAAAACCCCTTGGTCCCCAGAGGGTTAAAGGTTGCCCTATACATAAACTTTAGATCTATGTGTCCTCCAGAAGCTTGTGTTCTGCAAATGAACGGCGCCTTGTGCCATCATCCCAAAGAGACACAAAAACACTTTCTTCAATGACCTTTACCTGGACTGTTTCCAGCTGGTGGAATGACCAGCGCAACTCAACACATTTTCAAGAAACTGCTAAAGATCCACCTTTTTCATAAACACTTGCCCCAATTATACTAAATCTTTGTTTTTTTTTAAAAAAAAAACAAAAAAACTTGCTATGTGTACTGTGCTAGACTAACTGGGACTTGTCTCTGCACTTGTTGCTTCTATCGTTATCTTAATTTGTAAATCACTTTGGATTAAATGTAATTGTAAATGTTTAAAAAAAAGTTATATTAGACTATAAAGGTATACAGCAATTGCCTTTTAATGTGGATATTTTTACATGTTCTAAATTATATACTAAGCTTCTATTTCCAATTAATCACTTATCTTGATGTTCAGTGTTTGTACAGTTACTAATACTGTAAATGTGCAGGTATTCTGTACTCATACATTTAGTTAATTAACAGAAAGTGACTGTAAATTTGCTATTATTAAGTACTTAAATAGAGATTGGTCAAAGTTGTGAAATTGGATCTGTACAAATAAAAAATAAAACTAAATTTACAAACATTTGTATTTTAATTTATGCATTTTTATACATCATTTCATTGTTATTTAACACAGAAAAACTATATATTAAAAGATAATTACTGTAGATAGACAGCATTATTATATAAAATAACTTTATAAAACCCTAAATTTACAGTTTAACCTGAAAGTTAAATGCCTTTTTAATGTAATTTGACATAATTTATCCGTTTTTCCACGGTTTAATAAGCCATTATCAGCAGTAATATACTGTAATTTAATCAATTTTGACTGTAAAGTAAATTCTGTATTTTTACGGTTTTTCCATGTAATTTTGTGAAACGGTTATTTGCTGTAATTTAACGGAAACCATCTGGAAACTTTGCTGCCAGAGATTTGCCGTTTTTTTACTGGATTTTTTTTTACAGTGTACAGAGTTATGAAACATATTAAAAAAAACTGTTAAATGTCTACTTTCTTATGTGCCCACCTACAATCGAAATAAAATATTGTGCTTTTGTAAAATAAAGAAAATAAACAGGGTGTGCGTTCTGCCTCTCCGTGTCCGTGAACTTTTTTTCTGGAGCATGTCTCTAAACTTAAACAAAACTCAGCTAATACTATTCACCCAGACATGAGCAATATATGTTTATGATCATTTAAGTTTGTACTTTTAAATTATCTAATTTAAAACTAAAATAAATATTCCGTTTATGTAATCTATATAAAAAGAGAGAGGTGTCAGCCGTTCTCATTATCGTTCTCGCATCTCATTATTCCGCTAATGTGACACGCCCACGGAGAGCGCGCGCTATTCAAATGCTAATGATCTGAAGCAACACATTGAGACGTGTAAACGCCCACACAAACTCTGTAAACACACTATATTTAGTCAGATTAATGTACTGTCGTCTTGCGCGGCTGTGAGGAATAATCCTTGGAAATTGACCTACCTCAGAACAAGTGCTGGTTTATTTTCACTTCGAGGAGCGAGCTGAACTGTAAGTGTTTTATTCTTGTGGTTTGTTCTAATCGCGATATATAATAAAGTTTAGTGTCTGTAAACGCAAAAATAGCCTACTGTTTAAATTTTAATCATGTGTCTGTGTGTGTGTGTGTGTGTGTGTGACTAGTTTAGGATAGATTATAAAGTTTTAACTCTAAAATAGACATCAAATAAGCTTTTGTTAGCAGTTTCTGCTCATATGTTAAATATATAGTATGTTTTGTCAAAAATAACTGTTATAGTGTTTACTGTTATATCTAGCTTATATCAAAATAATGAATAACTGTTATAGTGTTTGTTCCAACTAGGCTATATCAAAATAATGAATCCTTAACTTTGAAATATGTATAATAAAATGTATTGGCCTACTTTAAAAAATAATACTTTACAAGAGATTTATGGAAAAAGACAATTTTATTTTCAAGATGTTTCCAACTCTAACTTTGAACCAATTCTATTGAATGGCCCATATAACCTATTTGAACAGGATTTGTTTCCAGGTATGACTAAAAATGTGCTTTTGTCTTTCATTTATATTTTGATTATATATATATATACACTCACCGGCCACTTTATTAGGTACCCCATGCTAGTAACGGGTTGGACCCCCTTTTGCCTTCAGAACTGCCTCAATTCTTCGTGGCATAGATTCAACAAGGTGCTGGAAGCATTCCTCAGGGAGTTTGGTCCATATTGACATGATGGCATCACACAGTTGCCGCAGATTTGTCGGCTGCACATCCATGATGCGAATCTCCCGTTCCACCACATCCCAAAGATGCTCTATTGGGTTGAGATCTGGTGACTGTGGAGGCCATTTTAGTACAGTGAACTCATTGTCATGTTCAAGAAACCAATTTGAAATGATTCGAGCTTTGTGACATGGTGGAAGTAGCCATCAGAGGATGGGTACATGGTGGCCATAAAGGGATGGACATGGTCAGAAACAATGCTCAGGTAGGCCGTGGCATTTAAACGATGCCCAATTGGCACTAAGGGGCCTAAAGTGTGCCAGGAAAACATCCCCCACACCATTACACCACCACCACCAGCCTGCACAGTGGTAACAAGGCATGATGGTTCCATGTTCTCATTCTGTTTACGCCAAATTCTGACTCTAACATCTGAATGTCTCAACAGAAATCGAGACTCATCAGACCAGGCAACATTTTTCCAGTCTTCAACTGTTCAATTTTGGTGAGCTCTTGCAAATTGTAGCCTCTTTTTCCTATTTGTAGTGGAGATGAGTGGTACCCGGTGGAGTCTTCTGCTGTTGTAGCCCATCCGCCTCAAGGTTGTGCGTGTTGTGGCTTCACAAATGCTTTGCTGCATACCTCGGTTGTAACGAGTG